CTGTCCAATCTTCACCTTTAGATTGTTTTCTTTGACACCCGACGTGTTAGCTTAGTTCTCATGAATAAATCAGAGCCGCGCCGCAATCTCACGCTCATCCAATTTAGCCAGAGGATGTACAATCCACGGGAAAATACGGTTTACCAGAGTAAAAAGAAATCTGTTATATCGGATAATGTAATATAATAATATATTATAACAGCTGGAATGAGAAAAGCACACAATGCTAAATAAAGCTAATTAGGGAACGGCAGTCCCTGACACGGACCTCGTCACAATAAAAAATAAGAATAAAAAAATAAAATACAATAAAAACTGACCTCGTCAGAATGAAAATAAATCAATAGAAAATAAAATAAAAACTGACCTCGTCAGAATAAAAAAAAATTTAATAAATAAATAAAATATACTGAAAACAAAAACTGACCTCGTCACAATTAAAAAAATGTTTAAAATAAATAAAAAATTAAATAAAACAACTGTGCCCAAGGCCCTAAAACCAGCAAACCACAGCAAAACATTTTTTTAAATAATAATAATAAATTAAATATAAATAATAATAAAATATAAAAACATATGTGCCAAAGACTCTAAAACTAGCAAACCACAGCAAAATACTAAAATAAAATAAAATAAAAAATGTGCCCAAGACCCTAAAATCATAAATAACAAAATAAAAAATAAATACATAAATGAATAAAAATTAAATAAAAAAACATATGTGCCCAATACCCTACAACCAGCAAACCGCAGCAAAATAATAAATAAAATAAAATAAAGTGCTCATGGCCATTGATCTGTGTCAATGTTCCCCAATGCACTGACCTCTCTATGAAGCAAACGTTAAATGCATATCATAACACTTTCTGTGAAGGATCGAATCAATCATCAAGACTGACAGAAGTATGAACTTAAAACCTGTTTCCTTCACATTCCCTTTTCCTTCTTGAGATCCAGTTAACTAATGATATCCTGCACAAATTGCATGTGCACTTTATTTAACTGCACCTATCGTTTTTAGTGGACAATTATTTTAATGTGCGCTGGGAACATAAATGCATTGAGCTGGAAAGAGCATGTTCTTCTGACCTTTAGCTTTTTCTTACTGTACGAATCCGTATTAATGAGCAAATGGACTAATTCATGTCTGAAACCCTCTCTGGAGGAGCTCTAGCTTTCACTGAGTAAGTAAAATCATGTTTTAAAGATGAACTTTGTGATTTCAAACCCACCTGAATCAAACTTGTCTGTGTTTTAGTCACGTTAGCTAATTAAGGCCGTCCTGTGAGAAATCTCATCCCGTCTGGATCTGTGGTTGCTGATACTGTACTTTTACAGCGCTTCTCATTTATTTGGACGTAATTGACTGTTTGACCCCAATTGTCTCACTGTGCACGAGTCTTGTGCACCTTCATAGATTTAGAATATTAAACCCAATTTTCTAGGTCAAATAAAAGTTGGTGATTCAAGCAGTTTTACAGAATAAATTACAAAAAATAACTATTTTTATACATAATCATTTATAATAATAACTACATACTATTACAATTATAATAAATAAACTATAAATATAAATAAACAATTATAAATAAGAAACTAAAAAAAAAATTACAATATGTACAATACACTAAAAAATAATCAAATGCAATAACATTAAATTAAAGGTGACATATCATGAAAATCTGACTTTTCCAGGTGTTAAGTGCTATAATCAGGTCCCCGGTGCATCTATCAACCAAGCAAACGTGAAAAAGATTAACCCAGTAACTTAGTTTTGATAAGCATTTTTCTGCAAGCGTCTGAGAAAACGAGTGCGTCTGATTTCACTCGCTTGGTGACGTGGCAAAGGGATCTCATTATAATATCACCGCCTCTTAATCTGTAAGTTTACACCCATGGCGCCGTTATTGTGTTTTCGCAAGCGACAACGGTGTACTAGTTCTAACGGCATGGAGAAAGTTTGAGTAAAGCAAGCTAACTGTTCTGTGTTTGGCTGCACAGACGAGCACAGAACACTGTTTAGAGTCCCAGCCTCAGACGAGACGACAGAGCAGTGCATTTACTGATTTATTTACTGTATATTGCTGCTGCCACACAGATCTAA